TCTTCATCTTCTCGATAAGAATTGCTTCGTTCTGACATAATGTAGAGCGCAGTTCTACATTAGATTGGAAACTAGATGGTTTTCTCTTTTGAATGAGCTCAACCGCTTCGCTGTAGCTCAACTACGGCGAAAATTCATCCGTTGCGGAAAACGCAAAAATAACTTGAAGAATTTTCGCGAATGCAAGTCTTCAACATATCGAAGGCTATAGCTTCGTTGAGACATAACGTGGAATGGAGTTCAGCACGGCTCTGAGAGTTATAGAAGATTTCCTTTTCGAAAGTGCACAACAACACTGCTCTTATTTATCAATAAATTTGCCCGTCGCGGATTTCTCTATTGCATGAGGATCTCCCCCTGCAAAGTTCACATTTTGGAAAGCTACATAGGCTTCTACAGCTCCTCCTCATAGTTCAATTAGGAATTGTTACACGGAGGTGCTGGTCAGCTTCTCTACGGAATGCGCCATGTATTCGATTTCCTTTCCGAATGCATCACCCATCCTGCAAGCTACGTGGATGCTGTTTCAGTACTGGTCTCTGCAAATACGACCCTCACCCGTCCTGAAGGAGCCGAGTACAACCCCCTCGTCTGGATTCCGCGACGTATGCTTTACCCTACCTCCCTCTCCTTCCATTTAGACCAATTAAGTTATTCCAAAAATATGTAACGCTATCTATGCACTTACATTTCGTTCAACAAATTCTTCATTATCTTTCTTCCGAATCACAAGTTTCACATTAGCACTGATTCTCCACAGGGCTGACTTCAACTGAAAGAAAACAGTTGATGCGACCTCAAAAAAAGTTCAAAGGACAGACGACTGATGGGTCCTATGACGAAATTTTGAAAAAGAGTAGCACCAACTAACCTTATCACCACCGCAAATTAAAGTGAATCCGACATGAGGGACACCTTCCATGGATCGTTTTTGAAGTTTGAACACCCTAAAATACACACACATTGGAACAAACAAATCAACCAGTCGGGGCGCTTTCGAGAGGGATGTATCGAGTCCCATCCGCGGCGATACCACCTCTGGTTGCCTTCTTCGAAAATCGTCACAAACCGAATTACCACCTGCCATCTGACTGATCGGACTACGATTTCTCAGCTCGAGCCAACTTTCCGTTTTTCTATGCCTTCTCACGTCTACCCAGCTCTTCCACCACGAAGCCCTCGCCTTTGAAAATGCTTTATCCCTGGCATTGCGACATATTTTTTGCAGGGTCTACGGATAGTTAAACTCAATCCCTTCAATGGCGCCAATTTTCTGTTTTTCTCAGCGCTCTCACGTCTGCGCGGCTTTCTGCGACCACTCTGACCTTTCACATTCCAACTTTTCACGCATCTTAAGTGGCTTATCCACCCCGGTGTCCTATCCCTTCGGAAAAATTGATCTCGTCGCTCGCGGTATAATTGTTGTCCCTCTCAGTGCCTTCGTAGCCACAGTGCTCTGTTTCTCTGCGCTCTCCCTTTCGCAAAGGCACTAAGTGTTAGTCGTCACGTAACGTTTTCGCCGATTTCGATACCTTGACGGCCGTAGTCCTCGCTTTCTCTACGCTCTGACCTTTCGTACCGGGACCCCCGCGGAAATTTCTAGGTTTCATGTGACCGACAGGGAAAGCGGTCGCACTGAAACCATCTTCCACTCATAATGGTACCCTTACTGAATACCCTCCTCCTAGATATGAAATGTACTTCACCTTCTAAAAGCAGTTGGCACGATAAGTTCTTCGAGGCTGGCAGGATTAATACGCCCAGCGGGACGGAATTCCTCGCCCCTGGGCAGGTGCTGCCTTCTCTAAAGAAGGTACCTTACAAGGCCCTATCAAGCTACAACATACCGACCCGAACGCCCACCGCGCCCGCCCGCCCACAAATGGACGACCGATGCTGATGCTCGTGTGCTTCATTTGCGAAGTAAAATATGAAGCGAAGGGATTGACATGGAGCGGCAGCGGTGCTGTTAGGCTGCGTTTATACTTTGCGGCAGCGTAGCGTAGCGCTTCCAGCGTACGCCAGCGCAGTGCCGGGGAGAGGATGATATCGATCTAGCGTTCCCAGCGTCACCAGCGTAACGCTAGCGTACGCCAGCGTTTCGCCAGCGTTTCACCAGCGTTTTGCTGGCGTTTGCAGCGGCAGGGGAGTAGAGACTATGTGGCCGTCAGAGACGCGCAATCGATGTGTTTTGTACCCTCCAGCTCTCCCATAGTCTCTACTCCCTGCCGCTGCAAACGCTAGCAAAACGCTGGTGAAACGCTGGAGAAACGCTGGCTAACGCTAGAGCGCTAGCGTACGCTGGTGACGCTGGGAACGCTAGATCGATATCCATCCTCTCCCCGGCACTGCCGCTGGCGTACGCTGGAAGCGCTACGCTACGCTACGCTGCCGCAAAGTATAAACGCAGCCTAAGGATATATGAGAACATACGTGCTGCCGTATCTACAGTAGCGGTTATTAGCACAACGGCAACGGGGAGCTCGTCCGAAATTACTTTCTGAGCCACGAAAAACGAAGGCTTCTCATAGCGAATTTTTGGCCGCACTTCGTTTTTTCGTCATTTTCTCCACTATATAGCACCCTGCTGCATTTTAGACCCTGTACCAGATTATTGTGCCATATGCCTTCGAGAACTGCAGCGAGAGCAGCGAAAGAGGCATCGAAAATTGTATAAGGTGCGCGCCAATCGCAGCAGGACCGAATTCGTTCAGCACTTGCGCACCTATACCAGTGATGGGCAGTCCGTGGCTGCGTGTTAGTTTAAGACACTCCCCGCGATCAAGTGGTCCTCAAAATGACTTCGTGCTTTTTGGAACCCTCTACGCCTTGACGAAGATGATACCACTTTCATCCCTCAATAGGCGCGATAAGGAAGTTATAGCGATTTCGACAAGGCTCGCTAGGCTCACGGAGACGGTAGGTGGACGAGGCGTCGGGTCCCGAGCTGCTTCCGTCCCTTTAACGCCCGCGCGGCGCGTGTTGCGCGCGGCCCTTCTGGCACTTTGCCATCTTCGGTGCATCCCCTAATCATTTCATCATTTTTCATAAAAAATTGATCAGTAATTTCCTCCCTATTTTCAAACGCTCATGAGGGAGGATATGTTGATAACCGAAGACGTGTTTTCACAACAACAGAACATGAAAGAATATTCAAAATAATCAAATAAAAGACAGCATAGAAGCAAATTCATGACACACCATGTGTGTCACGCGGTCCGGAACGTGTTAAATCGCAACTAGTGAAGCAACGAAAGTGCAAATTGCCCCTCCCCCATCGCCGAACTGCATCAAAAATTGAATAGAACTTGAGTAGAACAATACCAATCAACACCGCCAGCTTTAACGCTGGTCTCTACTTTAAGCGCAGCAGCTGGAGTGTTCCATTCTGGGTCGGCGACGTCTTCAGTGTAAATTGCACTCATGTGCAGTGGAAGAATCTTCGGCGGATCAGAAGTCTGAAATTTGAAAAACAGGAGTGGAAAATAAAGGATCAATTTGATAAAAGGTGTGCCCTTTCAGGACCTCTGTTCAAGGAGCAAGTCCTTGCGGTCTTCATAGCAATTTTTGGAGATGGGGTACGGCGTCGTGATGGAAGAATGGCAGTGTGGCACCCCCTTTCCCCATCTTGCCTCCCACCTACCCGACTTTCCACAGCGCCCTCTTCCCTAGTTTTCCGGATCTGGCTCCTCAGCTTTTCAACCAGAAAGTGAACACGAACCCCCCCCCCCCTTTTACAAGGTCCGTGAAGCGAGG